GTCTATGTTTTAGAAGTTACTCCAAGTTTACTCAGCACTGAATCTATGTGGAATGTTCTGAAAAATAGGTAAATTAAAAATATCACTGTCCTGATCACAAATGCAAAGTTTTTGGGGAATAATAGGCATTTTCTGTACTTTAATTATGAAATAACACTTAATACCCAGGAACAAAACAAAAGTGTTACACAATGTAATGTGTTTCTGCTTGCACACTCTGTAATACGGTTGTTTTTGCTAATTTATATTTGCCTCATTGTTGTACTTGTCTGGACTTTTATCATTTTGTGACCCCAGGAAAGTCTTGTAAATGAGACAATGCTTCATCATGGGACCTCCTTTGCCAGTACCAAAATATACTAATAGGGTGTTTCCCCTTTTTTTCTGGCAACAAAACTGACACCTTTTGCAAGGAATCCTGTTTACATTAACCACAATACCACAATACTTGCAACGAGTGCTTTTACATTATTTCCATCTATCGCCCTCCAGATGGCAGCATCAACACCTTCGTAAATGAGCTTTCGGAATTCCTATATCTGATTCCTAACCCATCTCACAGGCTCGTGCTTACAGGCGACTTCAATTGCCCCGGCAATACCCCAGCCTCCATCGATAGTCACCTTGAGTCAACTTTGGCCTGCCATAACCTGGTCATCACAAACTCAGGCCCCACCAGAGCTTCGTCAACAAACGTTGAGAGCATGCTCGACCTGGTTCTGGAACCTAACCAGCACCGACGCATCACTGCACTGGGAGTTTTCCAAACTGGTTACTCCGACCACCGCCTTATACTTTCTTCCCTCCAATTTCCGAAGCCAATCACCATCAAATTCACCCGCAACTTGCGTAATTTTAAGGGTATCGAATTTTCTGCTTTTCGTCACCTCCTTGCAAACTCGCTTTCAATGTTATCCCCATCATCGGATCCAACCGTCTGCGCTCTCCAACTAGAAGCTGACATGAGGGCGGCGCTGGACAAACTAGCTCCATTAAAATCACGAACCGCTAGGCAGTCTTCTCACGACACTCACTGGCTCTCAAGAGATGCCATCATTGCTAAGCGAACCAGGAGGCGTCTTGAACGTATCGCATCCCGCAGTGGTCTACCTGCTGATCGACTTGCTTACAGAGTCGCCTGCAGGAAAACTAACAAACTGATCCTTGTCTCACGTTCCTCCCACATTGAGGAACGCATCAAAAAAGCAACCGGAAACCCGCGCATTCTATGGAAAACTCTCAAAGATCTTCTCCATCCTGGTAGCACCATGGTCCCTCACCTTAGCGATCCCCTTGCCTCACTGAAACTTGCCACCTCTTTTAATACTTACTTCAACAACAAGCTAATTGCCGTCGCAAACTCGTGCACGTCTACTGACACATTGCACCATTGTACCCCGCTCATGGTACCTAAAATTGTAAGCACTAACCCAGACACTCTTCTAACTATGCTAAAGCCTGTGTCTACAAAAGACGTTTTCGCTTTAATTGAATCACTTCCTTTGAAGTCATCTCCACTCGACATGCTCCCAGGTTCCTTGTTCAAGCAATGTGCTCCGGAACTCGCCATCATGATCAGGAACATCGCAAATGCCTCCTTCTCTTCGGGGTGTTTTCCATCCAACCTCAAATCTGGCCTGGTTTCTCCCTTGTTAAAGAAACCAAATCTAGATCTGGATGACCCATCTAGTTATCGTCCCATCACTAACCTCTCGAACCTCTCTAAACTCCTTGAACGACTAGCCCTCGCCCAGCTACAACCACACGTCACCTCCTCCGCAAACTACTGCAACTTCCAGTCAGCTTACCGTCAAAACTATTCCACAGAAACAGCACTCACTAGGGTGCTCGATGACATTTTAACGATCGTTGATTCCGGCTCAACTGTTGCACTTGTAAGTCTGGACATTTCGTCAGCCTTCGACACCATCAACCATTCGCTCCTTACTTCCCTCCTGAAATCCGACTTCGGTATATGCGGCTCAGCACTCAAGTGGATAGCTTCGTACCTTTCTGACCGGCAATCCTCAGTCAGGGTGGGCATGTCCACATCGCCTGAAACAAGAGCATTATGCGGGGTTCCCCAGGGCTCTGTTCTAGGTCCCCTGCTCTTCACAGCCTACACTTCCCCGATCGGCCGACTCATTGCAAGCTTCGGTGTTAAGCATCACTCATACGCGGATGACACGATTCTATTCACCGCCATCGATTCTAGCAATGCATCTGGATTCGAGAGGCTCTCGGAATGTACCACCGCCGTGCAACAATGGTTCACTGCACACAACCTAGCCCTTAATCCGAAAAAGTCAGTGGCCATCATGTTAGGTACCAAGCAACGTCTCAATTCAGCAGCACTCCCCACACACATAGACATCTTCGGTCATAGTGTAATAAATGGACTCAGACGCTTCTCGCTGACTCCGTGTCCTTTATTTGGGGTTCGCGTTCTCCTTCCCACACGGCACTCCTCCTGAGACTCTCTCCCTGGCAGCCCCACATCTGCCTTCGCTCCCGTAGCCTTCCACGCTCCTGCAGCTCCGCTGCAGGCTCTTGGTACAGCCCTCTGGCTGCTCCCCCAGCAGCTCCATCGCTGCTCCCTGTTCCTCCGTGCGTGGCGATCTCGCCACCTCCCAATGTCAGCCCTTCGTGGCCTCTATGGCTATCTCGCCATTTCCTACCTCAGCCCTTCGTGGCCTCTGTGGCTATCTCGCCACTTCCTACCTCAGCCCTTCGTGGCCTCTGTGGCTATCTCGCCATCTCCAACCTCAATCCTCCACTCTCTCTTCCACCCCGCTGGCTGGCGCCGTCATGAGCCCCTCAGCCGCCAGGCTGAGGCACGGCGACCACCCAACGTGTTCACCACCCTTCACTCCCCCGACTGACCCAGATAGCTTCCTGTCTCCCCGCTATAACTTCTCCCCCACGTCACCCTGACTCCTCCCTCTCGGATCGTCATATCCGCCCCGCCCATTTACGCCCGCATTACAATAGCATCAAGTTCACCAACCACTTCAGCTACCTCGGTGTCATCCTAGATTCAACTTTATCCTTCGACCGTCAAGCCAACCATATCATCAGCTCATGTAACTTTCACCTGAAGGCTCTTAGACACATACGTCCTCTCATCTCTACTGAAATTGCCAACACTTTGGCATGTTGCATAGTTGGGTCTCGCCTTGACTATTGTAACTCCGTCCTTGTCCGGACCTCCGCTGGCAACCTAAGGAAGCTTCAAAGACTACAAAATAACCTAGCACGCGTCGTCATTGCCCACACTCATCCCCGCCTCGACTCACTAGCTCGTCTCCGCGCTCTCAACTGGCTCCCCATTGCCAGTAGGGTCACATACAAGACCGCCTGCCTCTGCCACAATGCCTTCATATCCGCCTGCCCGCCGTATCTTTCTTCATTACTGACAACTTGCAGCTCAACACACGGCAGATGCCTGCGCAGCGCGACTCACGACCTCCTCTCAATACCAAGATCCAGGATGGTCATGTCTACGCGCCGCTTCTCGGTGGCAGCCCCAACAGTCTGGAACGATATCCCTCTGCACATTCGCAGCATCACCTCAATCGCCTCCTTCAAGAGACACTTAAAAACTCACCTCTACAATCATGCTTTTGAGCGACTCTGAGCTTGGCTCCGCGCCTCTGAGTTGCGGCCACTACGTCTGCAAATTTGCGCGCGTTACAAATTGTATTATTATTATTAAATGTTTGCATTTGACTGCAAGTATTGTGGTTAATGTAAACATGATTCCTTGCAGAAGGTGTCAGTTTTGTTGCCAGAAAAAAGGGGAAAACCCCTATTAGTATATTAGAGACAATGCTTGTCTTGAGTTCTCACCTGATTAAACAAACTTAACATGAAATACTCTTTGGTTCTTTCGGTAAAGTCACGTAGGTAGAAAAATTAAATCAAATAAAAATGTCTACCTACGTGACTTTACCGAAAGAACCAAAGAGTATGGATTCCTACAGTCACGAAAGCTTCAGATCAAGATTTAACATGAAATCGAAAACTTGCTTTGCATGCATCCCAACTGTAGAAGTTGTAAGAGTTTAATTACTTTCATGTGTACCCTGCAAATTCAGCACTCATTCACTATCCTGCTCTAGGGCCAGATTTATACTCCAATGAAAATATATTCTTGACCCAAATTATGCGTTCCATCAAATAATCTTTCATTGGATTTTATGTCACTTATATGATTTTTTACGCTTTCCAACTAAGGTTGAAAATGTTAAAGCATTATCTGTGTCCTTTTGTCTGTAACAGGGGGAGTATTTTAACCTGTAAATACCTAATATGAATTACATTGAATTAGAAAGTTGTGCTGCTATTAGGGACTTACTCTATAGAAAATCAATTAATTTGATACAAGGGTTGCTCAAAAGCAGAGCTAAAAAGATTTGCGTCAGTGTTATGTGAAGGAGGCATTTTGGCTGCTTATTTATTTTATTACTTCTATCCTCCACAAAGTTGCATATTATTTTGAGTTACAAATTGTATACTTTTGGATATGACCCAGACCCATATCATCAGAGAGGGTCCTTGCCTATAAACATCCAGCAGTTCACCGGTATTGGTTCATGCAAGCCTGATTGATAATGAGACACTGAATGTCAAAACCAGTCGACAGTGTGCTTGTGTTGAACTAATGCTGCTGAAATGATGCACTCCCAGAAAACCATGTGGTTGATGGGACGTGGAGGGACATATGTGGAGGTATAGTTTCTAATTTATTTAATATATTATATTAAGTCTCATGTCCTGCATTAAAAAAGTATAGAAATTATTTCCCCCATATTATTTTAAAGAGTTGTTATATAAGCGAGGCTACATAAAAGTTAGCACAACATTCACGTTCAAGATTATTTAGTTTACCCAGGTAAGACCTCGAGACCTGGACAGTCTTATTTGTGAGAGTGACCTGGAACATTATTTACATGGTTCAAATTCATTCTGAAAGTATGTTGTTCTTTTTTTGCATGCAGATGTGTGTTTCATCTTTAAGGGGAAAAACTCCTTTCAATTGGAGAAATTATCCTTCAATCCGACATCTGAAAATATAAAGAAATCCCCAAATTATGATGGTCATAATTATGATGGTCATAATTTAGGTAAGTTAAATGTGCTTATTTTATATTTGCTGTGCCTCGTTTGTTGAAAATCGAGTTCATGTATTTGAGCCAAGCTTTTGTTTAAGCTAAGAATAAGCAGTAGGATTCAGGGAGAATGAATGCAGTTCTCACAAACAAATTTGGTAGAATCTAATAGATTGTTGTGAAAAATGTTCTTCAACTAGCAAATGGGCTGAAACTATTATAATTGGTGCTGTACACGCCAGATTTGGTTGTGAGAATTGGTGTTGTAGCTATACCTGCCAATTTCAATGTGTGTGGCTATGTAGGCTGGTGAAGGGATACACAACAAAAATTATTATTACGCGAACTACCTCAAAAGTCAATTATGATTCATTGGTTGTGAAACTCCACGTGTCTCATTACACTTGTGGCCAAAAAATAGACTTCTGGGCAATGGATGTAGATAATGACCTGATAATTATTGTAGGCATGGTTGCTACATACAGTGCGAAAGAAGTTCAACATACATATATAGGCATTGCTTGCAAAGGTTTTGCTAATTGAAGGTATATTAAGCTACCGGTACTCGGAGACACTTTAACACAGATAGATTCAACAATATCATAATATGGTATCCCCTACAGAGTGTATGGCATATGAAGGTCCATCCTGGACGTCGTCCCCGCAGGATGTCCATAGGATTACTATTCCTGCCTGATCTTGACATAACGATTGGGAGCAATGGTCCAAGTAATGTTTTTTTTCTCTTAATGTTTCACTAGATTTGAATGCAGAAGACTTTTTGTCAGAAAGGTTTTATCTTGAAAGACACATTTTTCACTCAACATGTTCAAAGGTGTCTTGCACTACATCATTTCAGAATGAGATTGCAAATCTAAATATTGAACACATCCCTGAAAATAATAGGTAAGTATTCTCAATATACATCGCAGTGTTCTGCTAGTTTACCGGCTGATTTGTTCTTGTCAAGCTGTTCTTTTAAAGATAGTATCCTGAAAATGCCTCCAATAAGTCGTAATATAGTGGAGCTCCTGCTATTACAAATGTTAGAGGGTGCCGGAGAAAAGGTATTTAACATAAGCTGCATTTCCCTTTGATATTTTTATTTAATATTCAGCCCTAATTTATCTTCATTGGAGCGCAGCCATGCTTCTTGATGGTAATGGCTGTTGTCATGTGCATATAATGATGTAGTATGAGAATGCCACATCTACAGTATTTTAAGAAATTGAGTGGAATATGAAATATTGTGTTGCTCAAAACGGATGGTCACTTTTGCCTTATTTCTCGAGAGATAAGCAGGGAATGTGTAGTGAGGAAGCATTTTCTGGTGTGAAAGGCGCTCTATCAAATAAAAGTTTTTTTTTTATAATTGTAATTATTAAAATTCAGTGGAATTACCATGGCTCCAACTTACCAAAGTATACTGCCAATTGAGAATTATATCTGGTATTGTATTGATTATTTCAACACAGTTGCTGAGCACAAAATCAAAGGTCCACAATGTCAAGTGGCCAGCAACAGAAAGCGCTAGCCGAATTGTAATAGATAAGCGTTAAAACGTGTTTTTAATTAAGCAAGGTTGTAAGATCTTGGGAAAGAATTATATCAAACTGGACTGATAACTGTCGTATTTAAACACTTTTGTTTTCAAATCTCATTTCAGACACTTCGTGTCCAAAGAGATAAAGAGTTCAAAGTTGAGAAGATTTTGGGAATCTGAAATGCAATTTCGTGATATCCACTATTTATTTCTTGCTGGTAATGACAAGTTTTCTGTTAAATTACATTGCTGCCAACTTTGAAGGCACCATCCATTTGAGTACTCGATATTTCATTATTTATAGTGGTGACATCCAGTTTATCTGTAGAGATTGCAGTATGTAGATTAAGATCAGTTCAAATATTTTCACTCATGTAAAACCACAAAAAATCAGGTAAAGCTGCTACTGGGAGTGCCTCTTAAAACGTGTTTAGATGGAACATTGATGTAAGTCGCCTACCACGTTTTCACTGCGCTGAAACGCCCCAGCAGGAAGGGCACATGTCCAAAAACAAATCTTGAAAGTATTCTCAGTGTCTTTATTCTCACCTGTAGAGTATACCAAATCGCCCTTTCCTCCCAAGGTCTCAGGTTATATATCCTGCTGACAGCATGGTGAGATGCGGCTGCATGTAGACGTTTAACAATTGAATTTTTTACAGTAGGGATTAGTAGGCGGTGAAAACCAATTAATTTAATTAATGTTGAGAATAGGTTTTCCCCTTTTTTCTGGCAACAAAACAGGTGTTAAGATGTTACAACACCAAACTGAACCCTTTTACAAAGAATCATGTCTGCATTAACCACAATACTTGGGGTCAGAATTAAAAAAAAAACATACTCTGATAACCTATTCTCGTATTTTGGTACTGGCAAAGGAGGTCCCTTAATGAATGTTTTAAAATAATTTGGATAAGTATTATGGGTTCTGGAGACACTTGTAGAGGTAACTTCTTTATTACAATACAACACTCCAACAGTCCTGATACTCTGTTACAGCCTAGGTACACAGCCTAGGTACACAGCCTAGATACACTACTCTGGCTACGCTCTGGGGTCCTCCGGCTACAATTACCCTAGGGGAGGCTACCTGACCCGACCCAGCCAAGGTGCGGGTCTGGACTCTGGCTTCCTCGGAACTCGCCCTTACAAGGACGTAGAGCCGGGAGTCCCAGAGTCCCACCACTGGCCCTCACAGCGTCCCGGCCCTTACAAGGACAAGCGGGACGAGGGGGTCCAGGGTCCTAAGCTGGCTGGCTGGCGGGTCTTGGGTCTTGAGCTGCGACTGGCCCCGATCGGCCAGGGAGCTGCCCTTTTATGCCTCGTCCCCAACGAGGGGTGGGGTTGTGTGCGCCCCCAGATATCGCACAGAGCACAAACAGCCCCCCCGTTGGTGGCGCCAAGGGGCTTAACTGTCTGGGGTGCCTGGGATCCTAGCGCCTGGCGCCGAGGGCTTATCTGTCTAGGGTCCCAGAGCCCCCAGCAGCCCCTCCCCTCTTATGGCACTACATAAGTGATACTCATAACGTTTATCAAACAAATGTCTATGTGAAAAACATGACAAATGTATTGTGAACCTTTGCATAATTTCTGTGCTGTATTCAGTCTCATTACATTCTGCACTACCTCGTGAAACATGGACATTCAGTCAACTGCATTAAAAATTTATCCTCCTGTGATCTACAGATGTTGCCTCGTTAAACATTTGAAAACCTATAATTACCCTCATTGTTGTAGTGTACATCCATACATTGTTAAAAATGTACACTCATTCTTATTTAGTGTTTTGTATCACATAGTTTTTCATCGAACTAGGACCCATATCTAACATAGTGGGTCCTTACTTATAAACATCTGGCAGTTCACCAGCATTGGTTCAAGCTAGCCTAACAGTGATAATGAGACACTGGATGTCAAAACCGGTCCAGAGTTTGCTTGTATTGAAATAATGCTGTTAATAATGCACTCCCACGAGGCCGTGTGGCTGATTCGATGTGTAAAGGTATATTTTTTGTGTTAGGGGGAAAAGAAATATGTGAAGTGAGGTGTATTGTCTTCTTATTTTGTTATTTTAACGTGTTTATATCTTTCAGTTCCCAACGATTTCTCCAGCAACGCTAAAATGAATCCAATAGCTCTTGCTCTTAAACAGCTTAAGCCTCTTCATGCACAAGTTTGTAGAATTAAAGTAATAAATGTTGAATATGTGCAGCAGTTTTTGATACACAAAGCTGTGTCATTGCACACTGCACTGGTCCATGGCACAAGTATATTTGGAGTCTTGGAAGATAATCGAGCTACTCACGTTGAGGTTGAAGTTCACAGATCTTACACGACAGAAGATTTTGAAGGTATGAAACCTATTCATGAGCATGTGTTGCTCGGAGGTGAAGTTGTCCTGATATCTGGTCTGTAAGGACCACAAAGGCAAAAAGAGAATTATAAGTGGGAATCTAAAAAGGTATTAACTTATCAATAGGTACAGATGCAATTCTTACAGATTGAAATTCTGCAAATTGCTTGCTGTAGTAACAGCAGAAAATATGTATCAGTGGCATGCATGACAACACCAGCAGGAGCAGACTGCACAACGCATTCCTCTGTTGGATTTGAATACTGTACATGAATATGATAATAAAAATTCCCTCTTATTTGTTACACTTATTCCAATGCTTTTATGAGCAGTGGTTATGTAGGTGGTATTGCTGTTATTGTGAATTTATCTCTGGCTCTTCACTTATATGAACCTTATTGCGGGACCCCCGGGGTTCCGAATAATCGGAAGTCAAAAACCGTAATTTAAACGCCGCAACCCACCTGGCGCGGATCATTCTGTTATGTCGTCCAAGCGCAGCGAGGACGAATGCGTAGAAGAAACAAAACTTTGATTAGCGCCTTGTGTAGAGCTCGTCGAAAGAAAAAAATGCCGCATCGTTAGCCTTCAACAGACAAAATGACATCACAACGCAGTTTATGCGAGAGCCGGGGGCTTATGGGACCCCGGGGTCCCACAATACGGTTCATATTACAACATTCCCTCCATAAAACACATAGTGGCATTTGTATGTCGCCTCCTGTTACTTCTACGACTTCCCCAGGGTCACCCTCGAAAGAGAGCTGATCAGCTCAATGGGCCCTACCCTGGGTTAACATATATAAAAAACTAAACTAATGCTTTCTCATTAAACTGATGTAACATCTCTAACATTCTAGGCTTGTGCATTTCCCTATGAAATGCATCAACTTCATTCTCATCAGTGCTTTCTAAGGCTCTCAGCACTGCTTCTGTCAGTTTTGTTATTATTCTTGTTAATGATTTTAATTTCCAGATGCAAGACAATAATGACGCTTAATAATGTAATTATTATACTTAACTTGGCTTTTTCTGTTTTATACCTATGTTGTCACACCCTTGATGCTTGTGAAGTACCGTTGAGGACGCTTGGACACCGTTGTAAGGCACACGTATTTATTTGTACAAGTAGTCACACTGCGGACATACAATACTAGAGGGGTGTATCGGCCCCCTCACCCGGATAGCTGGGAATACTCTACTAGCTACCCCTGACCTATCCCTAGTCCTCCACTAACGGGGAGGCTATCTGGCCCGACACTGGTCAGTCGGGCTACGGTACCCGGAGTCCCAGAGTACTAACTCTGGTTCACGGGACCACGCCACTGGCTCGGTCCTGCGCGGCCCTGACAAGGGCGGCGTCCCAGGGGAGTCCAGGGCCTAGCTAGTCGATCTTCCGTCTTCCCCCTTTTACTCTAAGACTGAACCTCGAGCTCTCCGGCTCATCCCCTTTTATACCCCCCAGAGGATCACAACCCCCCCCGGGCAGCCCCCCCAGGCCGCCCGGTGCGGACGTCGTTGCGGGCACCTCCCCGTGTACTGACGGAGCCCCGCCCACTGTGTTTGTTACCCGTTTGATCCTATGCATACAGCCCTACACAAACAGCCCCTCTGTAACAGCCCTACACTTGTAATTACATTGAAAGACAGAGGGAAACACTTGGATTATAGAACGCACAGGTTGATGCCATCATCCAAACTGTTAAGTGAGTTGGCGTGGGCAAGACATCACTAGAAGGGATTATATATGGGTAATGGTCAAGAATAATAACGGAGTGGCCAAGAAATGAAGCATGGCAGAGAGGACATCCACTGAGGAGATGGAGCGAAAAATCACGTAGTGTGCAAGTTTTGGGTGAATTATTGTATCGCATGGTCGTAAGAGGTGGTGGCGGCAGCTTAGGAAGGCCTTCATCCATCAATGGAATTTCTGATGATGCTGGACACTCCCCATAACCTGAAATGCTCTCCCCCAAAGTAGTAATTTCTCTGGAGGCTTCACTGTAGTTTGGGCTTTGTTGATTTGCAATTAGCATCACACCAGTCTGTGATTCCTTCCTGTGTTGAATTCTTTGAGGAAAGAGATGTGTCCGAGAGTCTGGGGTTTGTCCTTTTAAATCAAGTCAATATCGTTCCTAAATTAACGATGTAGGCTCCACATCCATTTCTTAGACTCCTAAAAGGAGTTAATTATCATGGGACCTCCTTTGCCAGTACCAAAATATGAGAATAGGTTTTTCCCTTTTTTCGGGCAACAAAACAGGTGTTAAGCCTTTTGCGTCCTCTGGTCTAACACCATTTTGAGACTAGGCTCAAAAGAAAGCTGTCTCTGGTGTGGACCAATCAGTTTCAAAGACAATGCATATGTAATATTGTAAATTACGGCGGGAGACCACTTGACGGGGAGCACACTTTATTAACACTTGTCTTGGCCACAATAACGTGTGGTCACTACAGCTCACGCTACACGTTCCACCCGGCATGTGTGGTTACTACAGCTCACGCTACACGTTCCACCCGGCTACACACACACGGGCTCTCCAGCCCCATAGCATCCAGGGGAACCTACAGACCCACCCCAGCTTGGGTATGGGTCACGACCATTGGGTCCCGCGGCCCGGCCCTCACACGGACGTCCGGCCCCGGGTCCCAAGGTCCCGCCTCTGAGCCACACAGGGTCCCGGTCCTTACAAGGACAGCGGGACTAGGGGTCTCAGGGCCCTATCTCTTCCTCCTCCGTCTTCCGTCTTCACTGGTCACCCACTCCCCGAGCGCCCGCGCGCACCGCCTTTTATAGTCCTCCGCTCCCGAGGAGACGGAGCCTATGCGGACCGCGATGTGAGCACCCACCCTAGTTGACCAATCACCACGTGCTGCCACACGATCCCTTTTCCCAGCTTGTGTCAGCGCACACAACCAATCACCACGCGCTGCCACACGATCCATCACTGTCAGCGCGCGTCACCACTACACAGCCAATCACCACGCGCTGCCCCACGATCCCTACTGCCAGCGCGTATCACCCATACACATATATTACACTTGTCAACAACAACAAAAAATTTCTGGCCTGGACTTTTGCAGCTGTTTTAGACTAATTTCAGGGTGCTGATTCCAAATCTGATCTCAGATTTGCTCTATCACATCTCATTTTATGCTATCGGCATACCCCATTTTCATTGATTTTACCAGAAATTAACTCTTGTCACTTATGATTGCAAGTTGTTGCGAGTCAGTGACTGCTTTAGTGTTAAAATATGGTGCTGTAATTTTAGGATAGTGTGTTTATAATATCATTTTATGTAGATATACACATTTATTTAATATTTTTCTTCTGCAGTTTTTATTGAAAATGCTATACAGTATTTGATATCTCAAAAACCTGATGTGATAGACAAAAACTGGAATCAGCACCCCAAAATTACCTTTAAAACGTTGGAATACCTTATGCCAGAAAAGTGTGTTGACCAGTGTTATCAGAGTAATTTTTTTGTTTGCATTCTGACCACAAGTATTGTGGTTAATGCAGACATGAGTCCTTGTAAAAGGTTTCAGTTTGGTGTTTTAACATCTTAACACCTGTTTTGTTGCCAGAAAAAAATGGGAAAACCTCTTATCAGAGTTGATTATCTTCTTCGTTGGCTGTGAACTTTAGTAGACACTTACCTCGATTATTCCAAAATCCATTTCCACATATACTAATCATCTCATCTCTGCACCTTTTATATACTATAGAATGAAAGTTACCCATGACGATGTTGTAATAGTCTTTACTGTCATTTAGTCGTTGTTTTATTGTATATGTGGTCTACTTTTTCATCGTTGTGAGTTGTGACTCGCTGTTGGAACATTAAAAATAATGTTGAACTCTTATTGTACTGTACGTAGCCATCCGTGTTAGTCGGAGGTGTGGGAGGACAACAAACTAAACACAAAAAGCAGTTCTCAAGAAATTAGTCTTTCAATGTATTTCAAGAGCCTCCATATAAGTTGGGCAACTCTATCTGATGCATTCCTGAACCATAAAACTTTATATACAGGTGCTGCAACTAGTGAAATATTTACTCCCTTACCTGGTTTGCAGGAGGTTGTGGGTTTCATTCCAACCCTGATGCCTGTATATCTGGAGTTTGCATGTTCTCTCTGCCCATGATCTCGTGTATTTTTATCTGGGTCGTCTGGTTTTTTCCCCTCCACATTTAGAAACGTGTTTAAAGCATTTGGCTGATATAAATTTTCACATGATAAGCCACTTCGTACAACTATCATTTGTGGCCAGGTCATTTCTGAAAAAGCGAAATAGCTCAGTGAGCCTTACCTGGTAAAATAAAAAATAGTTTATAGTTTTAAATAGTTTTATATCGTAGTTACTTGGCATGGACCGTCGTGACTATTTGACATGAACTCCCATAACAACTAGTTACCTTATATATTAAAGTTATTCTTACGCCCTTGGCAGACCTATTTAAACTAATATCCTTATCTGCTTATCACAATTGAATACCTGGTACAATTATTAAATATGTATGAAACTGGTATGAACGATTAGCACGGTTGACTATGTACGGTGCGAAGGAGATTCAACATGCATACAATGTGACTTTTGTACGTAAAAAAAACATGTTCTAACAATTAAAAATACACATTTACACAGTGTAACAAAACATTGTTGTCCTGTATTTGTTTCAGCCATAAAACATAGAGCTGAAATGACCAATGGACAATATTTAGATCAATCCATGAAGCAAGCTATGGATTGTAATAATGACCATGAAGAATGCCTTGTGTCAAACTTTTGTAATGCTGAGAGTTTGCAAATATGTGAAACAAAAGTTGTGCTGGCTGGTCAATTTTCCAATCAGAGTTCAACAAGTTGGTCTAAATCAAACAACAAAATATCTACTCAAATTAAAACTCAGAGAGTCCCTTTGAAAGAAAATGTAAAAGAATTACCAATGCAAGCGCCACTCTTTAGTGATACAAATACGAACTCTCTGCACGAGTATTTAATATTACAATACAGAAATGAATCCATAGAAACGCCATCTAAGCCATGTTCAGCAGTAATTGCAAGATCTGTAAATTTACCATCTATTAAAAACGTGCAAGGTAAGCATTGAGAGGTATGCATGGCAAACTGTTCATGAACACATTGTTTTCAGCAGCAACAAATAATTTGGTTGACAAAACCCACTTCAATTTTTTTCCGTACAATATTTATAGCTCAGGTAGTGTTAAGTGAAAAATTTGTTTTTTACTTTTTATAATCTTGTATATATTCAAAATAGAATTGATTTTGTTCAACATATTGGAATTCTTTATGTAAATGATTGTGCTAGCCTGAAGTTGGCCACTAATTTAGTATTTTCCTCATAGCATTATACAATCTTGTGTTTATTTGAACATAAAGCGCATGACGTATTCATGGCCCAAGCCGTTGATGCCACCACCACACGTCTCTGCTAACACATTCCACCCTCTGCCAGATCTACATCTGCACAGTCGACATGCAACAACGTCCAAGATGTGCCCTACCAGTATCTGAACATTTGCTCCTAGTTATCTTTGTTCACCATTTACTCGTGGAGGCCACTTCATTTCCTGTCATTGCAATCAGCCCCCACCCATCTACATGTCACACTAGCACAGTAATTTTTTTCTCGTCGTATCTACAACACCTGCCATGTTCTCTTCCGAACTGCTTTACTTATCCTGTCTTGCCATGAAATTCCCAGCATCCTTTTCAGACACCTGTGCTCAAATGCAGACAACTGAGGCTCCAGGTCTGTGATCCATGCAGTATGAAAGATATAGCACTCCAGCCTCAAGTACTCTTTTCTTTATATGTAGACATAGCTGTATTCTCTTCCAAAGTGGTTTTAAAATCTGATAGATCCATAAAACAGGTTTTTTTGGGTTAGATCGTATAAATATAAATGTTTCGATAAACCCGCCACTACCCGACAGCCAATTAGTAAGGTTTGTCACGTAAACAGAACATACCAATTCGTTACTAGTACAGCACACCGGTGTGTTGGAAAGCAAATCCTCAACATTTACAATCTGAGTACGACGTTTCGCCAATAATTACAAGCAGCATCATCAGGCGTCAGCCAGATTTGTGGAGAAATCCATTTATATTTACACGATCTAACCCAAAAAAACTGTATTATGGATATTGGTCGCGAAAGCCTACGCGTTAATTTGATAGATATCAACACTTTAAATTAAATGTAACATTGTATATTTGCTATACCGCAGTGAATTACAAAGAAAACAAGGCATGTGACCTCTCCATTGTTACTAATCCAGAGGCGGCAGAAAATGCTGTACCTAAACCTACCCACTGTAAGAAAGAAAAATCTACAGTTGTTGATGTTCTGCTTTCAGGTAAAAATCACTGAAATGTTCGGTAAAACATTGAACAGTTAACATGACATCTTTTACCTTGTAATATACTGTTTGCCCATTTTATTATAATTTGCCTTACTCAGTGTGTTCTATTTAAAGTTTAATAATTGTAAAAAAGTGGCGTTAGCTTGTTTTGGTTTTACAGCTGAATACACATTTGCAATAGAAATACACATAGCAGTAATCGCTCCCTATTGGCAGACTAATGCCCACATGTAGGTTGGTACTGAGTCAGTGTGTGCCACACAGGGACAGCTGCTATTGGGGTGCCCTTCAAATATTTGAGATATTAGGGAAGGTGTTTAGAATTTTTTAGACATTAAAGCAATGCCATATCAATGCAAGGCATATTATATTAAATGGCTTTTACATTACATACTGCAGATGTCACTGGGCATAATGCTGAACTAGCATATGAGTGAATCAGATATATTTTTATATAGACATTTTTAAGAAACAGGTGGATTTTTAAACCCATGGTCACTCAGATGATATAATCCACAACAAGGTATTTGTTATTTTATCATGGAAAAATGCAAACTACTTCGTCATTAAAGTCTGCTTTGATTCATTCAACAGATGCCATGTGTAATTGTATAAGAATCTTAGAGCTGTCTGCTAAAACAAGCATGGAAATGTTAAGACGTAATATGAACTCATTTATGAGCACTGGGAGTTTCGTGCAGCTTACACCGGACATGATGCAATATATGGTGAAGATAATTGAAAGGTCCATCCGCGATGAGAAAGAAGGTGGTAAGGTGGAGCATGGTAAATGTTGACTATTAAAATGTTCTTCTCATTTTGGGTCTGGGAAGGACTTTGATTGTGTATTATTGATATCTGAATGTGCAATATTAGTCATACTTTTGCAATTAAATTATTGATTCATCTATTAGAAACCTACACAATGATATCAACTGAAAAACTCAGCTTTGACAGTCAATATTATAATACATAAACGATTATTGGGTTAGGCCACCTAATGTGATGGCGTGTTAAACACTTATACACGTGACAGTTTAATCAGTGTGTTTACGTTGTGGTGAGGGGTTTTACTACATAGCTCTGGCTTCATAATTACGCAGCCTCACCCAAAAATAAATTATAGTATTTATCTCAAGCGTAACATTTCAGAATTGCAAAAAGAAATAAAGTGAAATGGCTCAAACCACTGAATTATTGTACTGAACGTAAGTTTTTAAGTTCCCACTGATTGTATTTCACTCATTGTTTCCCTATTCAAAGCACTGAATGCATTCACTCTATGTTTTCCTATTCAACGTTGTTCCAGTATTTATATTATTGCATCTTGCTTAGCAGGAAACTATAAAATTATAACATTTTATGAATTTGTGAATACAATGAGTGTCAGTATATATTCGAGATAAATGAAAATATACATTTTTTACAGGTGCAGAAAACTATAGAGAAATGCATATACATGCAGTGATCCTCCATGCGTTGGTAAGAGCAGTGGATTTAATAGTCAACCAGGATCTTTCAGTCGCAATAGGTAATGGTCGATTTGCAATGTTCTAACACTTTATGTTTATGATACTACTTTTTCATAAAGCCTGTCTTCGCCAGGCAAATGATTTCAATAAGTATAATAATGAACCTGATACGATAAAAAAATGTTTTTATCTATGATCAGACACTACTCGAACAATGCGTATTTTTCCGCAAAAATAACTAAATAGTTGACGACTTGATTCAACTTTTATTTAAAGACATACCCATCGGAAACCGTTCAAGTTAAACATTCCGTTCTTTTTTTAATACAAAGAACGAACATTTATTAACTAAATACTCTAAGGGGCAGCTCCTATCTTTTACCGTTTTCGAATTATTCAGATTTGAACATCATAAAATGCATATTTTTCGTTCAAAACCGCTTTTAATCCGAACTATATCAAAAAACTAAAAATATATAATGTTGCCTGCTTTAATTTTATTAGCTATTTAATGCTGTGTCAAAGGGAAAAAAAATCAGTCTTATATTTTTAATGGTTTCTGAATGACACCCATAAATTTTGACTTAAAACTTTCGTGACTGCAGGAATGAATATTCTTTGGTTCTTTCGGTAAAGTCACGTAGATAGAAAAATAATAACAAGTTAATAAAAATCATAAAAAAACACTAATGTAAACTGTAGCCTCACAGCGAACTATTAAACACAGCGAAGACAACTATCTTCGCTGTGTTTGTCCCCATCTGATGACGGACGCTTGTGTTGCGCCCGAAACGTCGTGATTTAATGTATTTTTTATTTTTTACCTACGTGACTTTACCGAATAAAACCAAAGAGTATGCAGCCTGGTTCTTAATAGGAGTGAGTGTACTGGCAATCTGTGATGTAGACTGAAGCCTGGTTATTAAGTTTGGTGAGTGTACTGGCAATCTGTAATGTAGACTGAAGCCTGGTTATTAAGTTTGGTGAGTGTACTGGCAATCTGTAATGTAGACTGAAGCCTGGTTATTAAGTTTGGTGAGTGTACTTGTATCCATAATAGAAGTTTTTGGGTTAGATCGCGTAAATATATAAATGTGTCGTTAAAACCCGCCACCACCCGACACAGCCAACCAGTAAGGGTTGTCACGTAAACAGAACATGGCCAATTCGTCACTAATACAGCACCACCGGTATGTTGGAGAGCCAAGCCACAACATTTACAATCCGATTACGACGTTTGGCCAGTAATTACAACTAGCTTCATCAGGCGACAGCCAGATTTGTGGAGAAGTCTTACTGTTTCGTTCCTTATATAGAGGCGTAGATGTGTTGACCACCCTTCTTTAAATCTCTGCATCTTTTGAGGAACGCCAATGAAGACAACAGCTTCATCTGCTTCGGAGTTTCTCCAGTTTTCTGGTTTGGGATACTTTTCTTCAAACCAGTGACGAATTGTTATGTTCTGCTTATGTGACAACCCTTACTAGTTGGCTGTGTCGGGTGGTGGCGGGTTTTAACGACACATTTATATATTTACGCAATCTAACCCAAAAACTTCTATTATGGATGATATTGGTCGCGAAAGCCTACGTGTTAAAGTGTACTTGTAGTCTATAATGTTGACTGTAGCCTGGTTCTTAACCTCTGTGAGCGTGCTGACAGTCTATAATGTAGACTGTAGCCTGGTTATTTTTTTGTTCTTTCGGTAAAGTCACGTATAAAGATAAAATACGTGACTTTACCGAAAGAACCAAAGAATAATTCCTGCAGTCACGAAAGCTCCAAATTAAGTTTGTAGCCTGGTTTTTACGCTGGTGGGCATATTGACAGTCTATAATGTAGACTGTAGCAATGGTTATTAAACTGAGTGAGCGTACTGGCACACTATAATGTAGACTTATTATTGGGTATTTCATTGGTTATTTCAGTAATAAATTTTATTTTTATTACTGAAAGAACCAATAAGAAGTCTACATTATAGACTGCCGGTACGCTCACTCAGTTTAAGAACCAGGCTACAGTCTACATTATAGATTGCCAGTACACTCCGATTAAGAACCAGGCTACGTTTTTTGTGTTTTTTTTATTCACTTATTTTTCTATCTACGTGACTTTACCGAAAGAACCAAAGAATATGACACCCACAAAATTTTTATGGGGCACTTAAAATTGAGATTTGGGGGCCTTAAAATGAAAAATCTCCGATTTTCAGATGTTTCCTGTTTGTGTTCTAAAAGCTAACTATGTGTAGAGGTGTAATTGCGCATGTCTACGAATGTTGAGGTGTGATTATGCATGGCCACGGATGGCCAACAAACACAAGGGGCGGGGTTACGGCCGTACACAAGGGTGGCGCTCGCACCGACGTCCGCATGTGTATCCCCCACGGGCCCCCCCTTGGGGGCAAGTCCTATAAAAGGTGATGAGCCGAAAGGCTCGGGAGTCGGGACTCGGCTATAACCAGAGAAGACGGAAGACCTGCTAGTGTAGGCCCCAGAGCTCCCCTGGCTCGCTGTCCTTATAAGGGCCGACCAGGGCAAGCCGGTGGCGTGGCCCCGAGAGCCCAGACGAAGCTGGTCTGGTGACTCAGGGAGCCGGGATCCCAGCTTAACCAAGCTGGGACAGATAGCCTCCCCTAGTCCCGTAGTGGAGGAATTGGTATAGGTTAGAGGGGTTAGCTGTCGAGAAATCCCTGTAGCCCAGTGACCTGTAAATAACTGTGTTGGTGTAATAAATAAGTGTGCCTCCGATCCTGTCGTCAAGCCTCCATATACTTACTACATCTGGTGTCAGAAGTAAAACGTCCAAACGATGGACACACGAGGGACGACACGTACCAAGGAGTCGGAGATGGAAGACGCCGCGGCCGATTCAACACCAGAGATGGCCGGGGTCGGATCGGAGCAGCCGGGGCCAAGTACGCCCGCGCCGCTACGACAAGAGGGGGGGGATGCGTCGGCTGAAGGACTCCGGCTGGCCCACTCCCGCCTGGCGGAACTGCTCTACGCCGCCGCCGCTGCGTTGGAGGAGATCACGCGGCTGGGGGCTGGAGGGGCAGCGCGGGTCGACGACAGCAGCCGGCGCGCGGTGACGTTTCCCGCCACCCCGACGCGGCTGGCGGTTAAATTTCCCGCCATCTCTACAGTGCGAGCGGACGGCGGGGCCGGCCCGCGTCACGTGACTGCTGAGCGCCAAGCACAAGCCGTGACATCATCAACACCGGCCGGCGCGTCAAGATCGGAGCGACCGGCGATGCCATGTGCACAGCCCGCCCACACTGTATCATCGGCGGGGAGCGACGGAGAGCGATCTACAGCCATGGACGTCGCCTTGCAGCAGCGTCTGCCGCCTCTGAAAGAATTCGTAGGCGCAGACGGAGACTGGGGCGGCTTCAAAAGACGGTTCATCGCTCATCAGGAGATGGCGAACTGGACGGACGCCGAGGCTCTACGCGCGCTGCCAGCGATGCTGGACAACGACGCCCTGGCTACCCTCACCTCGGCGCCGAGGGAAAAGCGCGCCACCCTACACCTGGCGTTGCAGCTGCTGTCAGCCGTCTATGGGCCGCCTTCGGACTGCAGGCAGCTTTTCCACGATCGGCGTCGGGGCACCAACGAATCACCTCTGGCCTTCCGGACTGCTCTCCTGGCTCTAGCGAAGGCTGCTTTCCCAAGGATGGACGAGGAAGGAGTGGATGCCATGGTGGCTGAGAAGCTGCTGCTACTCGCTGATGAGCTGGACGTCAACGTCCTGGCTCAAGACGACGCAGAGATGTCGTCCCTGCTGGTCGCGCGCCACATCCACGGGGGCTTGCGGTCCCTTCGTCGAAAGGCGGCAAAGGGGGCGGGCAGCCATGCCATGGCGGCTACCGCCCTCCCATCGGAGGAGGTCTGCGGGGTGGAGCGGCGAGGGGAATGGAGAGCGGCAGCACCACAGGCTCGGAATGGACCGAGCCGCCAGGAGCAGCCCAGGACATCGGGGGCGCTCACACGCTGCTACAACTGTGGCCTGCAAGGCCACGTTGCGTCAGGATGCCGGGCTCCCCGTCAGCGCGGGGCGACACCTCGTCAGGACGCCACGCCGTCTCCTCCCAAGCTCCAGCAGAGAAATACGGCGAGTCGCGGCACCTCACACGTTTGGCCCACGCACACATCCGACACACACTCACGCGCCCAACTAAACAGGGCTCCAAATTCCCCATCCATCGCGCGCGATTGTTCGGTAATGCGGCGGGCGCTCCAACCGGGTCAGTGGTCGGAGCTCGCCCATCGTGTCGTTGCTGCGTCGGCGGGATCATCGGTCGTGGTCGGTCACATTGATGGGGTAGAGGTGCGGATTTTAATTGACACAGGGGCATCGGCGACCATTATATCTGATTTAATTTACAACATCCTTCCCGTTCAAAGTCGTCCCTTGCTCCCTGTTGACGTGCCGTGCTATGCCGCTAACGGGGGCTCTCTGGGCATTATTGGCCAAATCCGCGCCACTATCTGCATTGGGGACATTAAATTATCCGGGCCTGTTTTGGTTTCCTCCTCACTCGCGGTTCCGTGCCTGTTGGGGACGGATTTTCTGGCCAAAATGCCCATCCGCATCCTTATTGACCAAGGGTGCATTGAGCTCCCATCGGGCCGACGCGTTACATTTCTGTCTTCCCCCACCACGGAGCGTCGGGCGTTTGCCACCGTGCAGGCGCTCGTCACAAAAACTGTGCGCGTGCCTCCGGGGGCTCAGATGCTCGTCCCTCTTAGGTTGCGTCGGCCGTTTAATGAAGGGGTTGCGGATCGGGGGGTCTTGTTGGGACCATCTCGGGCCGGGGTAAATGGACCAGATTTGCTCGCGGCTCAGACCATGGTGAGAGGGGATGGGGACCCCTTCATTGCAGTCCTTAATGTGGGATCGCGAACGGCCGTGGTTCCTCAAGGGACCGTGCTTGCACACGCAACGCCGGTACCCTATGAGGAACCACTCGTGGGTCAGGTATCCACCGATCCTCCGTCGCGACCGCATTCGGACTGTGATGACGGATGGCTGGATGCGCTTTGCGCGGGTTCAGTGG